GATGCTGATGCTGATGCTGATGCTGATGCTGATGCTGATGCTGATGCTGCTGCGGCTGCATCGTCCGTCGGGACGAGGCCGACGTAGGAATTTCGGTGTTTTGTCGCAACAAAGCCTCGTCACATAAAACTCTGAGCTCGAGGCAAAAGCGTGAGAATTGCTCTTCACCCAATTCAAGACAGCTGCTCGCACGATCGAAGAGTGCGTGGGAAAATTGGGACAAATTAAGGCCATGCTGCAGTTGGGCCGTTGGACGGTTGAGTCATTGCAGACAGACGAGACGTGGCGGCTGGCGCGCGAGTTCGAGTCAGAGACGAGAAAGTTGACAATCGCTCAACCGACGCGTATTTCGCAGCCGTCAAAGCCGGCCAAGTTGCACAGACCGGCACGCTTGCAAAGAGGACAGACAACCCAATCTGTCTGTCACTTTGCAGTAAATAAATGTATTTATTCACGAGCAAACAGTTAATTTTCCGGAAGGATGATGATGATGATGATGCAACTTCTGACGCCTCATTGTTGAGCTGGCCTGCAAGTCGTGGGAAAGTGTGCCATTAAGTGATCCAAGATGGCCGACCGCGTCAGAAGACGATTGCAAATTTCATTCGATCTACTCAAGCAATAGGCGAAATAGCATATTTTGGTTGCTATGCCAACGAGTCATACTGTCATGTTTATCAAGTAAGTTCTCGAAACGACCAGTAAAACGTGAATAAAAGTGTCACATTTTGCGACCATTCCTGACTGGAATGCTTATTTAATGAAAGACACGACCACATTGAAGTTATTCTAAATGTTTATTATTCCGTAAAAGCAGCAAAACTCTCTTAATGTGTCGATTGCGACAAAATGAGTAGAAAAGTATGCAATTTCAGGGATCTATCCTTTCTGTACCTTTTCCAAATTGTGCCTGATGCAGACGTCCAATTAAATGGAAACGTGAGTCCTACTCATACCATCGACTCTTCATCACTTCATACGACCTAGGCCGAATGGAATACTTGTTCAAGATTTTGTTAAAGTATCTAAACCTACTTTCAATGAATACGATCTTTCGAGGTTCGCAATGATTTGGCCAATAGAATTGTATATCTGGCGCACCGCGTCATCATTTTGGGTAATTATAACCACGTTCAGCTTGGGTCAAAGAGCATTGAGGTGGTTTACCACTTTTGCCTCGGGCATAGGCATCACAACTGTCGTGTAATGAGGCAATCTTGTGGAGAGAACGACCTAC